TGTGGCAGGTGCCTGCAGTCCCAGCTACTTGGGAGGCTGAGGCAAGAGAATCGCGTAAGCCCAACAGTTTGAGGTCACTGTGACGCCACAGCACTATAGGCACTATACCGAGAGCGACATAGTGAGACTCAGTCTTCAAAAAAAAGAAAGAAATTACCAAGTGCTAAGAGAAACAAAGTTCAGGGAAGAATTTTCCTTCTCCACAATTCAAAAGGACATCCCAGCCAGGCACGGTAGCACACGCCGTAGTCTCAGCTACACGGGAGGCTGAGGCAGGAGGTTCACTTGAGATCCAGAGCCCAAGGCTGCAGTGAGCTATGATCTCACCACGGTACTCCAGTCTTAGCCACAGGGCAAGACACCCCTCTCAAAAGAAAACAAAACAGTAAAACCCATATTCAGAAGCTCCCGACGTCACCGTACAATCTGCGGACACGCGGGGCTGCGGGTGCGGAGCTCCCCGTGCAGGGATCGGACAGGACGCTCGAGGGTGCCTTTGCCGGCCCAGTCCTACCCTGCGGCCCAGAGGGACCGAGGATCGAGCTGCGCCCGCGGCGACTCGGGTCCACAGACTCTGTAGCGGGCCGCGGGGAGGCCCAGGTCCCGTCACAGCCGGTTACAGCCGGTTCCAATCACCCCCTCCTGTGGACTCCCGGGACTGCACGCTCACCATTTCGCTGGCTTCCGCAGTGTCCCGTAATCCTCCCTAGGGATCTCTCAACCTCAGCGTAACAAAGGAGAGCTAGGGATACCGAGAGTCCCGAAAAGCAGGTAAGACTTAACGGCTTGAGATGACAGGACCAGCCACGTCCACACGCGCGAGCCGAGCGTGACCCCACGCACCTTTTCAAGGAAGGTACTGATTGGACAGTTTGTGAGTTCCCGCCCCTTTGTCCCTGAGTGACAGCCGAGGACCCGTGGTTCAGCCCATAGACTCTTTCTTCATCTGGTGCTTAACTTTGGTAGGATAATTGCATTTAAGCAGAATTTGGTTTTTGACCCAAGTTTATTATTAAGTGTCCTATTCAATAATGTTAAGTACATTTACCTTATGAAACCTATCTCTGGACCTATTTTCATCTTGCAAAAATTTTAACTCTATAACCCTCTATTTGCCACTGCCATCAGCCTCTGACACTCATCCTTCTGCTTTCTGATTGCATGAATTTGATGATAGGTCCCTCAAATACGTGGAATCATACAGTGTTTGTGCTTTTCTGACTGGATGATTTTACTTAGCATAATGTCCTTCCTCATGTAGTAGCATATGTCAGAATTTACATATATCCCACATTTTGGGTGATCCATTTATCTT